AAGGAAATCATCAAAAGACACGTACTACAGAAGCCTTTTTTGGTGATGTTGACTCGAGCTGTTTAGGTAGCAACCAATTCTAAGTTTCTTCAGCAACCGTGACAAAGTAATAACGCAATGTAAGAAACACAGAAGATGAAGAACATGGAAAAATGTATAAACACTGGTTTTGACCAGTCTCTCCACTGAGAGACTACAATGGGCAAGAAGACCTTATATCAGAAAGCCTGTACAAGAGAAAGACGTTGTAAATATCTCTGTAACAAAAACCCTTCAGTCAGCACGCATCAAACATGTAAGACAATCAACCTTGAGAAGTAAGTCCAAAGGAAATCCAGTTTACTTAATTCACAGTCATGAAAATAATTAAAAACTGTAAGAAGGCAGGACCTGGGATTTGTATCTCATGTAAAACGCATTACTTTCCACAGGAACGAAAAAATCTCACAAGGCTATTCAGGTAAGAGGGTCTTTGTACATCCAACTTTCTGTGCCATTTCTTTCTTTCAACTGTTCCTCCAAAACTCTTTTCTCTTAGCTTAAAACATACATTTTGCCTCAGTATTCTCAACACTAAGTGTAATCACACATATCTGTATAATTACAAACCTATTACAGTAGGTATGAATAGTGTATCTTCACATTGTTACTAAAGCCTTATGATTATGAATAAAACTCAAAATATAATGTCCTTTAAACCACTGAGTTTTCAACTGCATGCTATTACAAAAGTATAAAGGTTTAGAAAAGATATTTTAATTGGTTCTCTCTAATGGTGGGCTTAATTTAGATCTTTTTATTTTAATTTAACTCCATACAGTGGTTCTTACCCTTTGGTAGTATCCTAGTAACATTTTTTTCTTCAATACATAATTGAAAGGAGGTCTGTAACTAATAGCAAATTTGTTTAGAAGATAAATAGACATTCATCTCAGCCTAAGTGGCATAATTTGTGACTCCATCACAACCAAAACCTCTAAAATCTTAACGGACGACAAACTTTCAGAACTCTATGGCACAAAGTTAATACAGTTCGCTCAAATGGATTACTAATTTGAAAGTGGCTATGCAGATTAGAATTCATCTCTTCAAATACAGACAGCATCAGCCATATTTACCTATGCCCCCTCCACAGAAAATGGAGATAGATGGACACTTCCGGGACATGAGTCACCTCCTCCTCAAGCAGGAGGAGATTTAAGACAGAAATAGTAAAAACACCCAGACCTCTATAAAAGGAGCCTAGCTGACTGGCGTTGATTAGGTAAAATCATATTCCTACTCTTTTGCAATATCCTGTTTTAGGAACTTATGTTCTGATTCATGATTAAGTATGCAGTGCAAGCACCTGTTGGTGGCAAGACATCAAGTATCGTCCAACAAATCATTTGATAATGAGCCAGTAATCCACTGATACCCAGTTAGTAATTTTCTTTCAGGCAGTAAAATTATCCAAGAGAAAATGTATTTGAATTCAAGGAGATTACAGAATTGTAAAAGGAGTTCTGTATACACATAATTATATGCCCTTTATTAATTCAAGTATGCTTCACAGAAGTTAGAACTGATTTTGGTCACAATTCCTCAGATGGAAGGTTATTATCACACTATCAAGCCAAAAAGAAGTGTTCAGCAGAAGCATGGATACATTCTTGACTAAATTTAACTTTCAGTATGTGATAGATACACTGAGAAAAATTTATAGCCCCAAACATCAGAAGTTTACTACTGCAAATGATATATTTATATAAGTACAGTAATATGATATTGTAGAAGATTTAAAAAGTACTAAGAGTTAGCTTCTTAATATTATAAAAGTGCAGGTTTAAACTATGCAACTTAATACTGCATTTAATTGTAAAAACCAGTAAAATTAAACTATCAGAATCGAAAATAATTGTAATTAAACATGAATGCATGATTTAGGTTCTAAAATAAATCACATAAGCATCAAAAATGATCCTTAAATAAGGACAAAATCAGCCTGAAGTGTTGCACAGAAAATCAGATGGGGAGAAGCTCAATACAACCATGTAATGAACAAACAAAATCAAACTCAATTATTAACATGTTAATATTTTACAGATATAAAAACAAATATTAAAAAAATTGTTACGTACCGTAGGGATTTGAAACAATGTGGTCTTCTGAATACACTACAATCAGTCTCTTTCCAAGAGAGAATTGCCTAACTTTTCCACTACTTTCAAATCTGGAGTGGAAGATATTTTAGGCTGGCCAAATATCACTGGAAGAAAATTCGTTCACATGTTTGGCTGTGTTTTGCATTCCATCCTGTTGCTCTGGCACAAAGATGTAGCTAATTATAATCTGTGACATAAGCGGCTAATTCTACTGCTAAAACGGTTGTGTACTAATTCCAGAAATGAACTGCCCCACTGTAAGACATAACCAATCCATAACGTGCACTGAAATGGCTCAACCTGTCACGTAATGTCAACTGCTTTATTAGAATCCAAGAATATGCAGCACTTCATAGAATCTGCATGTAAAAACTGTTATCGGAGTTTGCTGCTAAAGCACATAATGCAAAATTAGAAACAAAAAAGCTTCTGCTTTCTTCTCTGAATCCATATGTAACTTTCAACTGAGTTTTAACAGTTGACTTTTTGAAAATTTTTCATTTTCTTGCTGACATAATTCTAGCTATAATCTAAACTGGCTGGCATACAAAAAGTCTCTTTAAAAGAAGAAAATACATATATTATAATATACGTATAATAGTACATATAAATTTTATACAAGAACTACACTAACAATTACGAATTTTTCCAAAAAGTTAAGCCTGTCTTGGTATAAAAGACAGACGCACATAAATACTAAGAGCTATATATAAAAGTAACATATATTATATATTTTAAGATGAAATTATAGAAATTATGACACATATTTTTTCAGTATCATTTAAGCTTTGAGTTCTCAAACACAGAAACAAGGATTCCAGGCCACCACTGCTTATATTAGACTGACTACACAACACTAACCAACAATTCTGTTCAACCTACAATATTTTAGAATCTGTGCTAGTAGATGTCTGTAATTTAAAAAGCATTAAACCATACATTTGTAAGATTTACAAAACAAAAGTTTTGTGCTATATAAAGCATTGCAATCATTGTCCATATGTTTGGACAACTTCATTTCTCAAAGCACGTTTCCTTTTTTCTAGCCATGCCCTCGCACTCTTATCATACTTCAGAAGACGAAGCTCCTATCAGACATTTAACAGTTGCAGATCATAAATTTAGGACTGACACAAATCCAACTGATTGCAGGCTTACAACATAGTTTTTTCCCTTTATGAATTCAATGGCCATTGCTCCTTTATCAGACTCTGTTTACATACACAAATGGAGAAGTTCTTTTCTATACAAAGGAATTAATTCACCAATATCTGACAAAAAAGACAAATATTTTTCGTAATAAAATATTTAATAATAGCTTTGAAACTGCTTTTATATTTAATCTTGGGGATTTATAAAAGATAAAGTGTGAGGAAAGCCTTTGTATGTTGTGTTAACACCAAAGCTCCTATTTAATTGAAATCTATAAATGATAGATAGTCTTGAAAGGTTCATTATTTAGTCATTATTTAGGTGAATGGGATTCATTCTAGGGATTTCCTGCAAAATCTTTTGCTCATTCTTGGAGAAAATCAGAGAATCAGTTAAAACTGGATACATGACCCTCAAAAAAGCAACATTTTAAATGGCATTTTAATATGTCTCCTTTTGGTATATTTGTAATTATTTGCTTTCTGAACTTATAAAAAAATATGGACTAACATAGTGCCCAGCTATAGAAAGATTAGATTGTATCACCCAGTAGCTCTCTTTATGGACAGAACTTTGTGTTATTTTCTGCATATGATTACTCTTCTTGGTCTAGATTCATGATATCCTTTGTCTTNGAAAGATTAGATTGTATCACCCAGTAGCTCTCTTTATGGACAGAACTTTGTGTTATTTTCTGCATATGATTACTCTTCTTGGTCTAGATTCATGACATCTACTTTCTGAAAAGTAAAAATTCTAAAAATGAAAAAACCAAATACCTCAGTTAGTATCTTCTGAAGTTCTCATGAAGTAGGACTGAAGCAAGAGCAACTGTCAGTGAGTTCTGTATCATCTGAAGGCAGCTGTCTTCCTATTTAAACGCAAAGAAGGGAAAGAGAAAGCAAAATTTTTCATGAGAATGGAGAAAGAATAAGATATATTCCTGAACTGCTCTCCTGACTACTTTAACTGACAACAACTTACAAGGGATAGACCAAAATTCACTGAGCTTAAAATTGTGGAACACAAATGAAACACTAGACTCCCAACACCTGTTTGGACTCTAAATATTCATGACAGAAGAGTTTACAATAAATGAGAAATAAACATTAGTAAAAAAATCTATGTGCAAAATAATAAAAAATATTTCTGTTGCAAGCATAAGATTAGAATACATTAGTATAATGAACAGTAACTTTAATTATGGAGTTACATTGCATTTGTACAAAAACTAAATCTTTCTCTTACTATTCACAGTTCAAAAATGCTGATGTCCCATTCCTCACCAAAACCTGCCAACTTCCTTTCCAATTGGAGTTTGAAAGTCAATGACTGACGACGTAGTCCTGTAAAGGTAACTAAGCAAACATATTTATCTTGTCAGAGACCACTCATACTTGACTAACTAGAAGTACTTGCAAACTTACAGCATGAAAAAGCTATGGAAAAAGATAGGTAAACTGTGGTTTGAATATTCTGCCATCTTAATCCATTCTATTTTTTTCCCTCTAATTTTGTTGAAAAAAGTTCTGTGTATATCTACAAGATTTCAAGAATATCTGTATATTCCTCAAAGTACAAGAACACAATGGTGGAAAAGATAACGACTATCAGCTATCAGTTTAACTAATTCATCTGACTAAAAAGGACATAGAAGCTATTTGGCTCTGTCAGATATTTTTTAAGTCTGTGAGATGTTTAAAGATTGTGATAAGGATTTAGTACCCAAAGGGTATTTAAGGAACAACAATACTCTAGCCAGTATGGTAAACTGAATTTATCTGAAATACTGTAATTATGTGGTAAACAGTAAAAATAGCTAAAATTAGGTTGTATGGATGTGTAACTCCAGATGATATCAGAGGTCATTTACAACCTAAATGATCCTATGAAACAGAAGTTTTGCCATATGAAATATTAAAAGATACCTTGCTAATGGTTCAGAAAGGTCAAGTAGTGTAGCAAAAGCAAATTTACATTAATGATATAATGGTACATACTTTGGGAAAAAAGTATGAATGCAAAAATGCAAACTAACCAAATTCCCAACCAATTAAAGTGGAGGATAATTTTATTAATGGTCAGAAAATACAAAAACTAAGTATTTACTGGACATCTCTGTCCATCTCTGTTCCAAGAACAGAGGGGAAATGTCCGAGTCTCCCTGATTCTTGTTCTTTTGAATTTTAGTTACTTATGAACTTGAAATGATGCAACAGAGAAATCACTTTTTCAAAAACTATTTTTTCCAGTTCTCCTATCTTCCCACTGCTGTTAGAGGACCAAATATGATATAAAACAAGAACTGTTGGAATCAATTTTTTTGTGTTTCCTTCCAAAGAATTTGAGTTGGCCATGTTTGATGTGCTTTTTAAATTTGTAAGGGATAGGACAGCCAGCCATTTACTGATAGATCAAGACCTTGCCTCTTTCTAAGAATAGGGCTACAGTGAATATTCAGAAAGGGATGTAATCTAAACGTGAGCAAAACAGTGAACCAAAAGAGGATTATATCTTTCCAATATAAACAGAAGCAAACATTTGAAAGTTACTCTTGCACCTACTAAAGCTATAAAAATGCAACTGTTTTAAACAATTACAAAGTGGAAAATATTTCAACAGGAACCTTTTGAAATATAAACACACGACCCACAAATACAAGGCTTTAAGGGAGATCTGTTTAGACTGTTTCATTACCTGATATCTATAAGGGGGTTCAAAACAGCTTTGAAACTCAGAATATTTATGTTTTGTTTAAGAATGAACAAGATTTAACTAAAAGAGAAAAATCTCAAAATTACTATGCAAGACAATATGAAAATAAAAGAATTAATTCATAAGTGTCCAACTACCCCGTGTGTCAGTGCACAGCAGGTCCTTCTGTCTGGTTTCTAGAAGTTTTTTCCATGTGTGAGCATGAACAGTTGGTTGTGGGTCTACGGCCTGATTCTCCTATCAGTATTTCAATCTCTGCTTCAGCTGTTATCTCTCTGTTCCTTGCTGCCACACCCATCTTCTCTATCCCTTTTTTTGCCACATTCAGTACCTGGACTTTCCTCCCCAGTACATTCAGTGGCTCTAGAATAGGAATCTTTTTCACTTACTGTTCACCAGCTCAACTCAATCTCTTCTCAAATTAACACAGACACAAAATTAATTTATATAAAACCAATTCAAACTGTCACAGAGGGCTAGTTAACGTTTTTTTTGGGCGAGGATGTGTTCAATGGTATCTTCTGCTTGGATTGCATCTTCACGCAATCTGATTAAAAACTATTTAATTTCTGTGGGTTTAATTCTGCATGAATCTTTAAAGAGATTAAGCAGTGAAGCAACAAGTAAAAAGCTGCATGGGTACTCTGTGCTCAGTGCTGTACTCTGTGCAAAGATGAGCCTGACAGGTGCCTTGGAATAGAGGTAAGATGGGATAAATTTCTTTTCTAAGAGCAAACAAGCAAGCTCATTTTGTAGACCCTTTCAAAGAGTCCAGTTGAGGGAGCAAATACTAATTTGAGTCTGCAACTTGTGCCGACTGGAAGACACAATGGAGGGACCTTGCTATAGTACTAAAAAAAGTACTTAAAAGCCAGAAAATGTTGCCTGACTTAATATTAGGGAGGAAATAAAACCATCAAACATTAAATATCAAAGCAGATTTGGAATTAATTTGTCTGCTGCATTGTTGGTATGATTTAAGCATTTTTCTAAGCACAAAATTCAAATACTGTGGCTTGAGGAAGTTAATCGTTAGCTTTTTTCAGGAAGAAAACAAGAAATGTATACTTTTGGTTTATATGAAACTCTCTAATATACTGGATCGGAGAGTGGAGCAAAGCATTTTTTCATAGGTTCACTGTTTTGTGCATTTGGATTTTTATTTTAGGATATGAATCACTGCGCACCTACTCACAGCTCCACCTGCGAGCACTCTGGGACAGGCACAATAGTGTATTCACAGGTCTATTTCATACAGTATGTCAAATCACTTCTACAACAGATGTCAAAAGCACTGACAATGAACAGAGAATGTTTCATGTTCTTTGATGATAACATTTCCTCTTACATCATCTGACCTTTACTAAAAACAAAAGCAAAACCCCTGTCTGTCCCTCCATGGTAGATTGACTGTCCCTCCACGGTAGAATAGGTTTAATAGGTCTTGGAAGCACTGCCTCTGTACTCATATTCTCATATTGCACGAAGGTTTGTACGTACCAACCCTAAAGAATAAAATGAGTTTACCACTCTCTTTTGCTTTCTTCCTATTTCTTTTATCTTCTTTTATTTCTCTTGCTTCCTTCCCTATTCACTGACAGAGCAGAAATACCGATAATCAAGAGATATAAAAATCTGCCACTTTATCATTAAATGTTATTTTTCAGTTACATAGCATATATTTAATTCTAAGATAATAAAGCAGGTGTATCTAACCTGCATTTGAAACAAAAGCATATAAAAGCGCCTAAAACTCAGTGTAAATCCAGTTATTCAGTGTCTACTTCATTAGTTAGAATACTTTTTTCATTCAGTACCACCATGCATCTTCCCAGAAAGAAAAAAAAAGAAAGAGTTAAGGCACACAAGAAAAAGGTTTCCTGTTTCAGAAGATTTAGAAGAAGAGAAGTGGAAATCTGAAAATTATAGTGCTCTGGCCAGGGCACTACAACAGAACCCAGAGCTCATGCCCTGACACACTCAATGCCCAGAATTTAGTGGATTGTAATTTTATACTTGGAGCAACTGACTACTAAATTATTTCCATAATAGGAACCTGCATTAGTTTAATTTTCTTAAAACTTCAGTAATCCATAACAGTGATAAAAAGATGGAACACTAGTTAAATATTTAGGAAAACAATACAATATTAATACATTGCTTCTTCCCTGTTAAACAAGTGGAAAAAGCTACTGTGGGATGGTCATACTACAGACCAGCATGTATGCTCAAAGAAAGAGAACGAGTTAAGACTGGCTGTTTAGCTAGTATAAATAAATTAATACATACTTAATAATTTGTTATGAGACCTAAAGAGACCTTCTTTAGTTTATTTTGTAAGCTGAACCTGTGCAACAAAATACCAGAAGTACCTCCATAAAAAATGAACTAAAATTTAAAAGCTGAAAAACCAGAAGAAAATAAATAAAAATGAAGAAGGAGTTAACCCAAAAGTACGTTTTGGCTAATATGTTAAGTCTGGTCATTTACCTAATTAAATCTTGATCCAAGTGAAATGAAGATTAGGTATAAATCAATGAGAGAGCAAAACAAGACTATAAAGAAGCTATGTCCTAAATTTTATTTTGTAATCATCTAGACAAAAAGAAGCTGTAATTGTTTTCATTTTACATGAACCTATATCCTAAACTTTATTTAGTAATAATCTAGACAAAAAGAAGTTGTAATTGTTTTGCTTTTACATGATTGCTTCTGTTCACAGGTTTTGATAAATATTCAGTGTAAAAGGGAATCAGGTATAATAAAGGTTTCAGCTGTATAAGAAAGTTAAATGAGTTTACATGATTTATTTCTAGATAATTTTCTTACATTTACACATATAAAACGAAACTTTAAAGGGGATCTGCTTAAACTTTTCCTTTACAGTGAGCTCCTCAAAGTAAACCAGATTACATTATAGAATTTTTATTTTTTAAAATAGAGAACCTGGGATCAAGTAGTCAAGACAGAATATAAATAGAAGAAAGCCTATGAACAAGTAATTTCCTGGCCATTTCTCTTTGCGCAAAGAACCCTTCACTCCAGACCTGATGTCTGTCCCCTCAGTAATTCAATGAGTTGCAGAAAGCTCTGAAGCTCTCTCCAGAATCAAGGAGGTTTCCATTTTATCACCTGTGAAACCTGACTTGCAGCTCT